TAGTGCTAAAATTAGTCCTTTCCCCCCGCCCCTTGTAGGTGGAGTGGAGGGTAACTATGAAATCTTAAATAAGAACCCCTATTTTTTATTACAGATTCGAATTCTACGGCCTAAAGTATTTGTCTGAAACATTTTTTCGATTGATGATAGATGCCGCAATAGTAATCGACGAAATTTAATTTTTTCTCATTTCTCATACGAACGTGCAATGTATTTGTAATAAAAAAAATACCACCAGGTTAAAAGAACACTCGGTATAAACAATTCAAATTATTATAGCACCAATTCAAAATAAATTTTTCGAAACTCTTACGAACCACTTTAGGAAGAGGCAATATATTTGGAGTGACAAAATAATGTTTTATTTAAAACGTGTGAAAATTACCATTTACAGCTATACTACACCGCTGACGCGAAACTGTTTCCAAGTATCGTGCAAATTATTTTTTGTGTATTACTAAAAGTAGATCCCTTGTCACCAGTCATATGACTTGTGAGCTCATCAATTGATTATGTATTCGCTGAGCATATTTGTGAAAAGTTGTAACGATAAACAATGAAATTTCTCGCTTGTTGGCAATTGGGAAAAATCCAAACATAGGATACCCGTTTTATTTAACCATCAAACAAACGGAACAGCAAACATAACTGCTAAAAAAAAACAGCAAAGCTTATTTTCGTGAATGAAAATAAAATCGTATCTTTCTCGTTATACTCTTGTATACGCACTACTGAGATAGAGATGTTTGTAAATATAGACACTGACATTATAGTAAATACCTAGCAATTAGATTTTGGATTGACCTTTAACCAGAAAACAAAGAAATTATACAAAATATTTTTAAAAAATTGAGATATGTTCTATGATATTCGATCTTAAATAATCATGAGTAACATGTTACACCTGACATGACTAATCATACTGTTTTATTTAATTAAGATTTAAGATAGTTTAAGTGTGTTTATCATCATATTATGTGACACGATAGACGTTGTTGATAAAATCATCCACATATGTAGAATCGACAACATACCAATTAAAAGGCTAGCCTGACAGTCAAATCTCGAATCCTTAGAACACGATGATACGGGAATTGCTGAAGTTGAAGGAGCAGAACAAACCAATGATTATTAACTGTTAACTATTAAAAATAATAATAAGGTTTAAAAAAATAAAGTTCGGTTATTTTCTGAACAGGCCCCGTATATTGCGTCAATAGGGACATACATCGAAGCTCTATTTAAACAAGAAAACAAGTCCTACTTGCTTGCATTAAAAGTACAACATGTATGAGCAAGAAAAACTGAAAATATATAGACCTGTACCAAATAAAACTAACTTTCTAATTAGTGTGTTTTTCGGTAAATTACAAGTTGCTCCAGGTTATTCATAGCCAACATGGGACCAATTGCAGAGGAAGAATTAATTAGTTTTAAGGATAGTTTTTGGATACCACAGTAATTTCACATCTTTTATTTTATATTTTGTGTGATATTTGAGAAAAAAATCGTGTATGCAAATGCCTACTCCTGCTCAAACATTCAAAAGGGCCTCGTCAAGCTAACCAATTTTGTTAAACGAAATATAATAAACAAGAAAATAGCAAACATTGCTGATATTGGTTCAAACGCCAAATTACGACGTAGTATGTCTTTTTCTGTTTGTCCACATTATTTGTTATGGTAATTTCGCGACAGGAAAGTTTTTCTCTAATCCATTATGCAAATCCTTAAGAAAAATTCCAGAATTCCATTAGTTCGCCAATATATTTAAATTTAAAATGTATTAATGGATCATTAAACATTAAATATTAACCATAATAATTTATTATTTATATAAATGAGTAAGTGAGTCTTGATTGCGTGTTTACAATGATGGTTCTATTTTACATCGGTCGTAAGACGGCGTAAATTTGGTTTGGCCAGTGGAATAATGAAAAACTATACTCTTCGTACTATTTTATGTAGAAAAATATGCCACACTGTATCTCCGCCACTGGAGCATTACATTTTAGGAAAAGGCCTCAGAGTTTGGAAAATGTTCGCATGCATACATGTGCCTAATTTCAAATTATTCCACTTACTAGTTTTTAAATAATTTAAAATAATTCAAAAACATCTTTTCAACGAAGTGTCCTGGATAAAATCTTTATAGGAAAGACTCCCAAAAATCACCATCACCAAAGAGAACGAGGTTTCATTTTTGGTCACCCTTTGTGAATAACCCTGTATAAAAATCCTATGTGAATTTCCACAATTTTTATTATGGTAGCAAAATACCGAAACTGAGATATCTGTAAAGACCAAACACTGAAATTTTACGTCATTTATAACAGATATCTGAATATTATTAACCAACCACTTATATTACCCTTTAGATAAAAGGTATTTTTAGAAAAGTACACATGATAATTAAATTAATATCATTCTAGGAAAAGAAGAGATGTCATTATTTGATTGTACCTACAATAAGCATCTATATTTAAAAACTTTAACACTAAAAAAACAGTCTCTTTCAGTCGTGTGTCACGGACAGATAAGACAATTGAGGAACTTAAAGTGTAACGAAGATAAAGTGAAAAGTTTATCGTTGCCTTCAAGGGTTGTATTTCTTCATTTATGTTATCTTGAAGGTAGGGTTTTCTTCTATATACATTATTTATTTATTAGCGATAAAAATAAATTATTTATTTATTTTCGGATACATGTAATTATTTATAGAGAGATAAGACAAATATTTATATAATCATTATTTATAGTGTACGTACAAAATTGCTACATATTGCTCAATATTGAATTGTACAAAAGTAAATGGTAGTTTCTAAGTATTTCGTTCGATTTTTTAAGATATGATAGATATTTACTCACGTTCAAACAATTCTACAATGTGTACACATTTATTTGTTTATTTGAGGATATCGCCCTGCTTGTCATTCTTGCGGAGACTTCAATGATATGATGAAATAATCAAAGTTGTTTTCACTGAACTTTCAACACATGTTATAATTAGTAACACTGGAATATTTTTAGAGAAAAGGCGAGTCATTATTTTATTTATTTAAAAATAACAATATCTGATAGACAAGTCATTAAAAAATATACAGTTGTTTAAATGAGAATAATTGACTACAGAACATTTGCCAATGCCTACACATAAGAATATTTGAAATATAAAAAGGGGCGTCTAGAAAATCAAGTAAGATTTAATAATAGCATATCCAACAAAATAATAATATGCCGCCGCTTCCCCACATATGTCGATCACTTTTTTTCAATTATTCATTTTTACTACTAACTTTTGTGCTTTTACTTTAATTTGAAAGGTATTATGCCGGTTCAAATTAACCTTAAAATGTTTTCTAATATTTTCGTCTGATGATAATTATAATAATTTTTCGATAAATGACTTTTATTCGGTTGGGGAATAAGTAAGGTACGTTTTCTTTTTTCAGATGTAAGATATTTTATTATTACCTCTACAATTATCAATCGTTATTTATGACTAGGCTTAGTGGGGCGCGGAGTTTAACAGGACCGGAGTCAGCTTACGAATGAAAATGTTAATACGTTTACAGAAAATATGTCACAACATACCCAGCACTATTACCAAAAAGCAAGGCTAAGTAGAGGATAAAATACCTAAATAAATTTAAATGACGCCACTTACCCGATAAACCCTAGTGTTGAAACAAGGCTTCCGTGGCATATTGGAAGGAGTTAAAACATATTACTACGTGCTTTTCTAAGCTTTCTTTAGTGAAACTGCGACGTTTATCACTTAATATTAACTTGTGTAGGGAAAAATTACCATTCAACGTCTATTGTTGACAACGGACAGTATGAGAAATTGTTGAGGCATGAACTATACAAGGTGTTAACGAAATAAGTACTCAAATTTGGAGAGTATGTAAAACATATCGAAATATGATGAAAACATTACTAGAGTTATTGCCAGTGGCGACCCCTAAGGGAGATACAGCCCGTCGAAGGGGTTACTCAAGAAACAGTTTTTATTTTATAACCAGAACGGTTTAACATTAGGTAAATCACGAAATTTTGGAATTGTATGACTATTGATATGCTTAATTCAACGTTGCAAGGGAGTTTTGTCCGCAGAGTGGTTGGTGCCTACAATATCATCACCTATTAATTAATAATTTGTCTTTGGAGTTGCTTTTTACGTTGGTGATTTTAATTACTGATGTGTTTTCGAGCGGCTTATTTTTCACCCACTATCCCACTTATTTAAAGACTGAGACCTAGCTGATAAGGTTACACTGTAAGGCCTTAAATAATGCAGGAGCCCTAGAAACGCCACAAAGAAACGGCTGATAAGACAAAGATGATCTGCAATGTGAAGGTTATAATTATAAATAATATTACACTTATCAACTGTTAGATTACGAAAGTGTTAATTAAAATCTTTGCTTGTGTTACATCCCACGAAATAATATAGGATCAAGATGGCAAGTAAGCGAGATCTTTTTGTCACATCTACCTAATCTACAATTTAATGGATCTTATATAACAATGGTGACCGCGTTTATTTATTTACAAACAAAAGAAGCTACGCAGAGAATTCAACAAACATACTGTCATATAAAGTATCCTAAGCCTGTTTCCAAAATCCTTCTGCGACGGGAGAGATTCCCGTCATTCACAAAACAATTTTTATTAAGGAAAGTCCTGTAATACCCAGATTAGTGGTAATTAGTACTTAGCGAGGATAAAACGGTAGAAAAGGAGCTTGTGAGTAGAATAAAATAAAGCATGCAGGTTTATAGGCTTTATATTTAGACACGTCCTTTTTTTCGATGTCACACAGAGTTTTGTTTGTTTTGTTTGACCTAAACAGTCAGTGTGTGTCTTTGCCCACTGTCGTGACGTCACACGAGTAGTTGTTTCCCGTCGAGGCATCCTATATCGTTTCGGCTTGCATATCTAATCGTTATTGAACCTCCAGATATGACTCGGTGTCTAGTCAGGCATTCCAAAAGTGATTCTGTAGGCTTCGTCCTCTCGTATCAGGTAACTATTTGCTCAGGCGGTCGGCCGGCGCTAAGTGTTATAATTAATGGATTTTTCAGCTGGCGTAGTGTGATTTTAATATTGTTCAATTGTTCGGTTGTTTGCTTATCATGTGACGGACTTTTATATTAATTGTGAAACTAGGATGGCAATTGTCAGTTCGAATTTCGTCATGTTATTTATGTGATCACTCCTGTTGCTGAAGGTGGACAGTGAGGTGACTGTTGTGACGACGGAAGCGATTCTATGCACACGAAATGGGTGTAAGTATGAAAAAAATTGATGTTTAGGTTGCAGATTTATCACTAACTTTTCTAAAAGGGTTTAATTCAGTTGTTATTAATTTAGTGTTGAATTATCTCCATAATAATTGACGCAGAAATGTTTCCCAACCTTTATTATTCCGATTTCATTAACGAATGATCCAATATTAATAAAAAACATGTAAAGCGGGTTCCAAATGGTAGAAATATTAAATTTGTATGAAAAATTCGAGTCTGTTGTTTTCAATTATTTGTGCTCTTAGAATTTCAAACAGGAGTTTATTCTTTAAGAAATCCAAAGGCTGCAAAACCCCTCTTAATGCTAATGAAGATGAGCTTTAGAAAGGGAGTAAGTGGGAACGAAAATACAATCAATAACCAGCCAAGAAATGATTAAATGAGCGATTAGACAAATTGTTATAAATAGGGTACTTTCACTCCTTATCCAGGACTTAGGACAAATTTTATAGGATCTTTAAAATGTAATGTAATTTTTTATAGATTTCTGGATGTTCTTCAAATTTTAACCACGAATCTTTTCGCGAATGTATTTTATGAAAACATAATTACATACTAAATTAAACTAGATGCTACAAAGTTTACTCCGTCAATTGTACTGACTAGAAAAATACTAATTTTCATACTACCAATCCACAAGTACTTTTTAAGTCAAAAACGGAAAAACATTTTTCATATGGATTATTTAATTACTTTTAAGACTTTATGTCTCTAAGCAAAATCTCATAGTTGCAGCATTGATGGTAACAAAATTACATTAAAAACAAAAGTATCACTACTTCTTGCTTCTTCTACAAAGTGATTTAGATAAAACTCCTCTATAACTTGATACGGATTGAAATTTTTTGATTATGTAAAAGCTTCTTGATAAAGCTTCTTGACGGCGACAATTTAAATTTCAAGAGGAATTTTTCCAAAGCAGAAACTTTGCAAAGTAGTTTTTCCGCAATTATGTCATATATGTATTTAAGTTTTGAAATATCAATAATTTTTTAGATATCGCACCTAAGTGCGATACTAGAAAAGCTGAAAATCAGTTGCAAGAAACATTTTCAGGTTGATTTAACAAATTAAAATCATAAACTAATCAATTCCCCAAAGAAAAAACGAAAATTAAAAAATTGACGATTACAAACTATGTTCGAGAACACCTCCGTTTGCAGCAATACGCATTTTTAAGCTATGTGCTTACATTTTATTGATTAAAAAATATTTTCTACTAGCTCAATGTATACCGTTTCTTTAACAGAAAAAGTCACAAGAAAAAATCAAGTGGTCTCAGATCTGGTGACCGCGCTGGCCACCTAAGCGGTTCGTTTGTTCCCATTTATCTTCTCGGATACATTTTCTTGTAAGAAATTTTTAACTTTGCCGTTGCAGGCAGGCGCATCATCATGTTACTATCACATGTAGTAGAACTTTTTCTAATAAATTAGGAATGTCATTTTACAAAATAAAATAATGTATACAACTCTGGTGCGTCTAAAAGAAGAGGATATTTCCTTTTAAAATACCATACAAAATTCATAATTCATGTTTTCCTCCATCTTAACAAGATCTTTATTATGGTTTATCACTCCAAGAAAATTTGTTTAAAATACCATTTTTATGCAAAACTGAGAATTGTGAGAAAAAATCTAATTTCGGAACTTCAGGATGTAAATAATACACGATATGGCTTTGTATGGATGAAAACTATTCCTAGAAGAGGTTCTCTGACAGGACGAAAACTACCACTATACCAGTTTCCTATGCAACATTTCTTATTGAAGTTTGGGGATTACCTTCTACATGCTGTGAAACTTCAGCTGTACGATCAAGATCGTGTCTACTGGGTTTATCCGAACCCATTATTTTTTTTTCACATCAAAACTTTCATATCGGAGGAGTCAAGTTTTCAAAAGTCTTGCGATCTGAATGTCGTTGTTTGAGTAACGCGTAGCTCTAACATTTTGTCTACACTCGCCATAAATTATGATCACGTCATACCTTTCCTCACTAGTGTATTGAACCACTTTAATGACATGCTTATAAATTCAACGGTTGTACATTGCATATACTAACACTGCCAACATCTTCCACAGTTTTTTTTTCCTGTGGTTAGGTTCTCTTCAAGTCCTATAGCACCACGACCTTATCAGGCTTATTGTATGTCCCACTGTTCAAACTTATTCAGCAAGTAGTTTTGTCCTTTTAATAAAGTCCAAAGCGTTTGCCCAAGAACGTCATTCTACTACGTGTAAATCCTGGGCCCAGGATATGCAGAGAAGTTTCATCCGCTAAGTTAGATCCTCGACAGATCGGACTGTCTACAATCCTTAGCTTATACAGAAGTTTCCTAAAGTGACAGTCCCTTTATATGTAAGTCTGTTACTTTCCTGAGCCGAATTTTGGGTCTTTACCCAGTATTTCCAATGTCCTGGACCAGTTCCTTTGTCCAGTCCCCCTGAGCGCATTGAGAGATGTTCCACAAAAGGGCTTTGCACAGTTTTCTCTCCTTTTCATTTTCAATATTGATTCTTTCCATACTCTTCTCTGTTCGCAGGCCTGATGTCTGCCCAAAATCGATAAACATGTATTTCCCTCCGTGCAAAAATTTGATCTGTTGTACTTCTTCCTTATCTAAACCTGCTCTGGCATTCTCCTATAATGAACTCTATGTTTTCTCTTAATTGTTTTGATGCATATTGTTAGTATTTTGTGAAAGTGGCTTTCAGGAGAGCGACGTCTTTATAATTTTGCCATTGAATCCTATCTCCTTTCTTATGAACAGAACATCCGCTCCTCTACAAGTTGTTTCGATGAAAAATGATCTAAATACGTAGGTACCGAAGTATTTCCCGTTCTTAAAGCCCTCCAAATATTAAATCCTCGATATCTGGATCCGCAAAGGGTTTTCCGTGAACCCACTCAGGGAAAGTAACTAATCTCGGGTGAAACTTTAAACCCCTATCGTTCGGGAAAAGCCAAGGGAGTTCCAAATGGAAAATTTTCTTTATTAAGCCGGATTAATCCGTGTTTTATTTATTATCTACTCCCAGTTGGAGATGTTTTCGTACGTTTTGAGGTTGTTGCCAGACCACTCTTGGCATAACGTAAATACAAAGTCCAATACAGAACTGTTACGAAAAAAATTGACAATCATTGCCTCAACGCATCCGTAAACAATGATTTGCACTTCGTAAAGTTCAAAATCCTAGACTAGGTTGAGTCCCTCATATGGAAATATTTACAAATCATTTAAAATAGCGAGTCATAACTTTTCATGATATAAATAGAAGTAAACGGGTAGTTTTAGAAGGCCGGAAGTATTTTGGAGATATGTTTGGTCTTAACCGGTTAAATTACCATTAAAAGAACTGTAAAACTGAAATTTTTTTTATATTCAATTACATCAATATTGTGTATATCTCAAATTAGATAAATGATGCCTTAGTAATTTTCTGCCTCTGTTTCTGTTCATCACTGACTTGACTTTCCTGCTGCTCTTAAACTTTTTTTGCGTCCACGGTATCTCCAAAATGAATAAATTGAAGATGTTAAAATATGTTGTTACCTGTTACCGCATTAAACAACGTAATCCAAAGACCAGTGTGGTTTTTATAAATCTGATATTGATATTGATATTTAGCATCTAATCTTTTTAACATTTTTAAAACTGACAAAACATAAGAACAATAATAATTTCTTATCTCCAAATTTAACTTGAAAAGCTAGTCCAAAGGGCCAAAGGAAAATCATACTACTACACTACACCAAAAAAAAAAATAAAATAAAAAAATAAATTGTAACTGTATTCCTTAAAAGCCGTTTCTTAATGAGGAGAAAGACAACTCTATCGAAACTTTCTAAATACTCCTCACTGATGTACAAATGAAAACCAACGATAACACGGATCGCGACTCATTAAACTTATCCCGGCGACGTAAAATAGAGACGAAATTAATAAACCTTTTTTTATTTGTAGGAAGCGCCGCAAAAACTTTAATAAGGAAAAAGTTACTCGATATAAGAACAAAATAAATATAAGAGTTCTTTCCCGCTAATAACTAGGGTGAATCAAAACCATTAAACTCGTACAATATTAATCTCGGCGGGAGTAGCGACATCGGCCAGAAGTTTATTGTAACATCTTTTGGTTTTCTCTTTTAAGTTTATGATAATTATGACAAGGCTTGTCGCCTTTGCTGTCTTCGCTTTGTTAATTAACTTAACTTAATTAATTAATTACTTACTAATAACTTAATTAATTTTTTAACTTATAGAGACAAAAACTTAGACACTCTGACAAAATATTTAAAGCTACATTACAACATGCAGTACTGTTCTGTTATATCAATGGAATTTGGTATTTTAATTAGAGAATTATCAATAAATATATAAAAAACCTTAAAATTTCCCATTACACTATTAATAATCCTTCCGATAAACTCTGACACTAATTTGTCTAAATTGAAATTATCAAATTTGGCAATATGTGATGATTTGGTATCCGTAAAAGCACTTTTCCAAACTTGTGTAATTTTGTTTTTAATAAAATAGATAAAATTATACGGGTTGTCAATAAATTAAGTTTTCACAATTTTAAGATAACATTATACAGCAACGTATGTAAACCAGCAGTTTCACTACGTTTCCGGCACATTCAACCGTTACAGAGCGTTCATAAATGTTTGCAAGCCACGTGCCTGTCGTGCTTAGGCAACCCAACAATGCACGATTGGTACTGTTAACGAAAATTTTCTAAATGTTGACGTCAGTATCGAAAATAAGAAACAGGTACAACCCATGAAAAGGTTTTCTTTCGTGTATTAGATAAATACAATAAATTAATGTCAGAATTGTGAATAGTGAGGAAATTGTGAGCGGGACATTACAAGGGAACAATAGACACAAAGAAGAATCAAAATTATTTTAATTGGGAAGAGGGCTAGAAACGACTCATCCCTAATAATTACAAACTATAGATAGGAACTACAACG